AGAGGTATATAAATAATTTTATAAAAAAATTTTGATATTTTAAAAAGCAAACTGTGCTGATTTTCACTTCTTCTTTTTTTTTTTTTTTCAAATTAATAAATAATAAATTCCCGCAAAACAAAACCTACTGAAGTCGCTGGATCCCGCTTCCAGAGCCTCTGTTTCATAGCTCTCTCCTCCTCTTCCCCTTTTAGGGTTTCTCAGTACGCCGATCTTGTTTCCCCAAAAATGGCAGCAATAGCAGCAGCACCGGCGGTGTCGCAGTCGCGTTCCTCCAAGACGGAATCCTATGTAGACAACAAGAGGAAGGAGGACATCCGCCAGGCCAACATAAATGCAGCCCGCGCCGTCGCTGACGCTGTCCGTACCAGTCTCGGACCTAAAGGTATGGACAAGATGATCTCGACCGCTAATGGGGAGGTTATCATCACCAACGACGGCGCCACCATCCTCAACAAGATGGAGGTCCTCCAGCCAGCTGCCAAGATGCTCGTCGATCTATCAAAGTCCCAGGATGCTGCCGCCGGGGATGGAACCACTACGGTCGTTGTCATCGCTGGGGCTCTTCTTAAACAGTGCCTCTTGCTCCTCTCTCGCGGTATTCATCCGACGGTCATCTCAGATTCTCTCCATAAGGCCTCCATTAAAGCCGTTGATGTCCTTACTGCTATGGCCGTTCCTGTGGAGTTATCTGACCGTGATTCATTGATAAAGTCTGCTAGCACTTCATTGAACAGCAAGGTGGTCAGTCAATACTCGACCCTCCTGGCTCCTCTTGCTGTCGATGCTGTTCTATCTGTGGTGGATCCGGAGAAACCTGATTTGGTGGACCTGAGGGACATTAAGATTGTGAAGAAGCTTGGAGGCACAGTGGACGACACTGAGATGGTTAAAGGTTTAGTTTTTGACAAAAAGGTGAGTCATGCGGCTGGGGGACCAACCAGGATGGAAAATGCTAAGATTGCTGTAATTCAGTTCCAGATTTCACCGCCGAAGACTGATATTGAGCAGAGTATTGTGGTTTCCGACTATACGCAGATGGATAGGATACTGAAGGAGGAGAGAAATTACATTTTGGGAATGATTAAGAAAATTAAGGCAACAGGTTGTAACGTGCTACTGATTCAGAAAAGTATTTTGAGGGATGCTGTGACAGATTTATCTCTGCATTACTTGGCCAAGGCAAAGATTTTGGTTATTAAGGATGTGGAGCGTGATGAGATTGAGTTCATTACCAAGACATTGAATTGTTTGCCTATTGCAAATATTGAACATTTCCGGGCAGAGAAGCTGGGGCATGCTGACCTTGTGGAGGAGGTTTCTCTTGGGGATGGAAAGATTGTGAAGATTACGGGAATAAAGGATATGGGGGGGACGACGACAGTGCTTGTTCGTGGATCAAATCAGTTGGTGATAGATGAAGCTGAGCGGAGTTTGCATGATGCTTTGTGTGTGGTTAGGTGTTTAGTCAATAAAAGGTTTCTGATTGCTGGTGGTGGTGCACCTGAAATTGAGCTGTCAAGGCAGCTGGGTGCGTGGGCTAAGGTGTTGCACGGGATGGAGGGCTACTGTGTTAGGTCATTTGCTGAGGCACTTGAGGTCATTCCCTATACTCTGGCTGAGAATGCAGGGTTGAACCCTATAGCAATTGTGACAGAGCTGAGGAATCGGCATGCTCTTGGTGAGATTAATGCTGGGATCAATGTGAGGAAGGGACAAATTACAAATATTTTGGAGGAGAATGTGGTCCAGCCGCTGCTTGTGAGCACAAGTGCAATTACATTGGCAACAGAGTGCGTGCGGATGATTTTGAAGATTGATGATATTGTCACTGTGAGGTAGTTTTGTTTTATGAGGATGAAATGTTTTCCCTTGTTATCCTTGTTCCTGTGTGTTTTTTGAACTAGTGGTTTTGTGGTCTTTTGTAATTCACTATTTTGAAGAATTATGCAATGGTTTTAATTATATATTTGCTTTGTGGTTGTATGTGTTAACTTCATGGCGGCTTTCTGGTTTTGCGTTGGTATTTGCATTGTTACATATGAATCCAGACATGATATCTGTTGGTTTTCAAGTTGCATTTAATTTCTTACAAGGATCTTGTTTAGGTATTAGGATGATTGATGAAACAATACTCATTATTTATTTTGAGCTGTTTCAGAGAATGGCAGTTACTAAGTTTTTTATGATTTTGTTGTGTTTCTGTCTGGTGACTTCTTTGTAATCATGTTTTAATCAGAATTATTGGTTCTTTTAGATCAGAAAGCTGAATCTGGTTTCCTTCGGTGGATTTTCTGAGTTCTGCTTTACTTGTTTAGGCTTCTTGTTTTGGGTTGAAAAACATAAACAGAATAATATTTGCATCTGTGCCACTAACAAAATATTCAGACTCTGTTTCACTCAGCCAGAGATTTTCCCTTCTAGGTTGAAAATTATATCTAAAATAATTTTAGTGAAACAAATCCAATTACTTTATGTTTATAACTTCACATCCATAGGTTTTGCAAACTACGTGGATTAGGTTGCAATTTGTATTCTTAAAGTCACATCTAACTGATATATTCATATACACTTAACTCCTTTTGCTAAGGTTAGAAGTATAAATCAATTCTTAAGCATTAAAAAAAAAAAAGGAAAGTGATACAGATATATGCATATATGCACATTGGAGCGTAGGCTAGCTTGTTTCAAGTGGTAATTTGCTAGTTTTAATCAGTGCTTATTAATGATGGAGTCCTAGCCTTTTCTTTCTTTCTCTTTTGTAATTTAAGGGAAAATTGTGACAATTCAATAATCAATGTTAGCTTGATAAATAATGGTTGTCTGTGCTTACTTGCCAGGATGCTTGTGTGGGCACCTGATTGTTCTAGAGATCTCATTTCAACTTTTCTCTTTTTTCTTTGGAGAAATAATGTGGCTCTTACAAACAGGGAAAAACACTTGAAAAAGCTTCCTTTTCCATCCAATATGCAACAGCCTTTTAATCCTATTTCTTTCACCTATTGGTGGCATTTGCTACCAATGGGGAATTTGATCTCATTGTAAATTCATGATTTTCAGTTTTTCACCAATGGAAACCAGAATAATTATAGAAGATAGTAGGATATGAACACAGTTTTGTATGATGTAGACCTGGATTTTACTTTATATAGGTTCAGCCCTCTTTTTGGGTGTATATTTTGTTGACTTTACAGTCCTGTGGACGATTAGGGAAGGGTAGGGAACTTGTTGGGGTTCCTTGTTTTACGTGTCTGGAAAATATTTGGCATTGAGCTTCTACTTGAGTTTAGATTAGATGAATCTCTTTTCCATTGTCTGGAGCATGCATCTTTGTTCACATTTCATATCTTGTTAGAATTTCGTGCAAAGTTCACCTGGCATGTATACATCTGGGCTTATGTAGCATTTAATTTTACACTAGTACCTGTATTGGAGATCTTCAACATGCTCAATGGGGCCCAGTAGTGTTCATTTAAGTATAGGATTGAGAATGGTTTGTAATTCTTCTTTGGTTGGCCAAAAAAAGGCATAATTTGTAATTAAATAAGGGAGATTTGCTAAGGAGGGTGATGCCTCCACATCATTAGACATGTGGATTAAGGAGAATATTTAATATACACATAAAAGGACTTCTAAACCTAAAAGCTTAGGGCCTGTTTGGTTTGAAGGAAGTGGAAGGGAGGAGAGGGTTGTTGATATGGCCTTCTCTCTCCTTTACTTTCCTCAAACCAAACAAGCTCTTAGGCTATTGGATTCAAGGTGTTCTTCAATAAGATATGCCTTATACTCTGAATGGGCCTCTTCCCCGATAGCCTAAGTACAGGTTCTAATCTCTTTATCTCCATTCGCATGCAAACATTTTTAGCTCTTCCATTTTATTACCATTTTCTTTTGTTATTTTGTTTTCATGGCAGTATCAGAGGTCCTTTTCGTTCGTACTCCATTATCCTATTTGTTGTTTGGCCCCAATACACTACTTAGGCTCCTGACCTATCAAAATTTTTGGTAGTTGAAGTGAATTTCTAAAGATTTTTTCAGTCGTCATTGTTTTTCACCACTCATAATATCTTATTCACCCTGAATTCATGTTTGATTTCATTCAAATATGATGCGGATAAGGTTTATAATGGCATGAAGTTTAGCATGAGGCTTTTGTTTCTAAATATTTGAGTTATTTTTTGAAGTGTGATTCTCATCTTCAAGATTCAGCTATATATATTATACAGCGTGATGACAATATTCAAATTATTTGTTAGAAAAAAACACTAGAACTACTTTCTTTATAAACTTTATTCACAATACTAGTAAGTTTGTTTGTATTCAATTAAAATCTGCAAGTCTTTATTGTAACAAATTTTGATCTTCAGTCATAATCTTGAAGGCAGATTTTGAGTATCTTTACTGTAAGAAATCAAAAGGCTATTTGGTTTAAAGGCTGAAATCTAGTAATTAGCAAATAGCAAGTAACGGAGTCCATGGTTAGGAGTGGATAACAAAATTTATTTATAATAATTGTTTAGTTATATAATAATTAAAAATTGTTGTTTGATATCAAATAACAAATAGGGATAAATTTTAAAAGTAATTAATACCATTTTTTTTTGTTAGTTCTTAACCATAAAAGAGTTATATTATTGTTTATTATTATTATTATTATTATTATGTATTTATAAATAAAACATTCCTTAGTTATTTTTTTAAAAAAAATTTGATAAACCTACCTTTGTTATTTTTTAATAAAAATCTAGCACAGGGGTAGAAGAAGAAAACATATCTTTTCAATGGGCATAGGTTTTTTAAACTAAACATACTCACATTGTAACATTTTCTTTAATAGGACACATTACCTATCTTTACCATATGATAAATGCATTTTTCAGTATATATTGTATTTTTTTTATATAATTTAAATATTAAAATTATCAAAATACCTTTAATAAAAGCATCTTATATTTTTCTTTATTAATTATATTTTCATAATTTTAATATCTAAATTGTGGAAACAAAGTGCAGTCCTTACTAAAAATAC